TGAAGGTACTAACAAAATTGTTTGCAGCCCCATTTGTTGCTAGATGTTTTGAAGGTGTTACTGTATGCCTTATACCATTTGTTTTCAGAAAGTTTCTGAATAAACTACTTGTTAATTGGGGTCCTCCATCAGTAACCAAATGATCACACAATCCGTATCTGACAAATAACTTTTTGAAGATTTGAATAACCTTCCAGGCCTTCGTATTATCTCTCATGTCAAAAGCTTCAGGCCATTTTCAATGGGCGGTTATGACAACTAATAACATCCTATTTCGTAAAAGACCTAAGAAGTCACATTGCAATCAAGACCAAGCTTTATTTGGACAAGGTCACTGCGAATTCGCAAATTCGATTCTTTCTATTTGATTCACAGATGAGGTAACTTCCAATATAATTGTCAATATCTAAATCCAAGTTCGGCCACCAAAAATAAGATATGTGTAAATACTTTAGTAATGAGTCGAACTGATTCTGATATATCACTCATATTCCCCACATGAGACATCCTTTATCCAGCTGTAATCCTAGTTTCTTAAAAAAAACTTCTTTTCGATATCAGATAAAGGCTTATTTTCAGTTGGCCACCCCGCGGCTACCCAATTTATCACCTCGATTAATATTTTATCTTTCACTGATTCAGTGACCACTTATTTGTAATTCAACAAAGCATCCTCTCTTCCACATAGTTAAGAACTTTAAATTCTGAATCAAAACGTGAGTTTGATCATTTAAAAGAAATCTTGACAAGACATCACAGTTACCGTTTCCTGAGGACTTTACGACTTCTATACTGTAAGTAAATTCTGAAAGATAATAAGCCCATCTTTGTAATCATCTTTGAATTGTGGCAGATAGATTTTTGTATTTTCCAAAAATCTATTTCAAAGGTTCATGGTTCTTAGAACAGGAATTATGTAAGCTCCATAGGCATACTGGTAAAATTTCATAAAGCCAAAAATGATGGCAACTGCTTCTTTATCAATGATTGCCTTATGCCTTTCAGTTACCGAAATTACTTTCGACGCAGATGCAACGGGTTTTTCTTCTCCAGTTTTTAATTTATGAGAAAGGATCGCTGACAGTCCATATTGACAGGCATCGCATGACATGTTTATTTGGATTAAACAATGTCAATACCTTATCTGACACGATTTGCCTCTTTATTTATTTGAAAATTTTCTCAGATTCTTCGAACTAATCCACTTTTCTGGTTTCAGCAAATCATAAAGACAACTCAGTTTATCAGCTCTGTGCTTCAGAAATCATTCATAATTCATCAATCCAAGAAAACTCCTTAACTGTTTTCAATCTTTAGGCCTTGGACCACCCGTAACTGCAATATCCTTACTTTCTACTAGATGAATTCCTTGTTTATCCAGAACAAATCCTGAAATCTCCAATTTACTTTTTAAAACTTCACACTTTTTTTTAATTTACTTAAACCTGCGTCATTTAAGCGTCTGAATATTTCGGTTATGATAGAAATGTGCTCTTCATCTGCTGTTCCTGTACAATAAATATTATTAATATAAATTTCAGTGTAAGGAATTCCTTTAAGTATTTCCATCAAAATTTCCTGACATTCTACAGGGCTGGACGTGACACCCTCCAGTAGTTTAGTAAATTGAAATATACCTTCATCTGTAATAATCGTTAGTGCTTTTTTGGAACTTTCAATAACTGTGAATTGCATGAATGTATGTGCTAAATCAATCTGAGACCATTCACTGCTTGATTGTAATTTACTAAAAACCTCTTCTTAACTTGGCACCGGTTGAAGTTTGATAATTAAATGTGGGTTGACGATTAACTTAAAGTTACCATACACTCTAACTTCCCCATTCGATTTTAGAACAGATACTATAGTCGCCCAACTTTTTTTTTTTGGGGGGGGGGGTTCTCCCCTTCATCGCCTTTAAGGCTATACGGGGTTTTCCCGGGCCAGGGAGGGTGGATGGGGATTTAAAAGACTCCCCAGCCACCGGGATGCAAACTCGTGACTATTTTTCATCGTTATCTCATATATCAGGTTGCCGGGCAACGGCGGTGCTGTGCGCTCTCGTTAACCCAACGAGTTTTTAAAAATTAATTTCATATTTTTTCCTGTATAAACTCCTTGCTCTGGACTAAATGATTTTGGGAATAATGATTTAACCTTAGCCATTACTTTTTCACTTGTCTCCTCTGAATTACAATAATTTAATTTCAGTTTGATTGTCCACATACCAAGTTTGTAAACAGCTTCTTCCCTACAGAGAGGGACCTCTCCCTGGTAAAACACAGAATTTTACATCATTTACTGCTTTACCATTAAATGACACTTTCAAATTTGTCAGCTCTATAGGCTTCAAATCGTTTTTACCATATGTCATAAAGGTTAAGTCAGAATCGATTATTGTTCTATGTGAAAAATATCGAACCTTTCGACTCTTTTTATATCACTGTGACTCTGTTATATCACTGTGATCCGGTGTCTACTTGCATTGTAATTTTAACTCCGTTTATTAACAAATCAATGACCAACAGTTTCGCCTTGGTCTGCACATTCATCGAATCCGCATTCGATAATTCAGTATCACCTAAAAGAATTTGTTCGAATTGAAAAAAATCTTGTTCATTATTACTATCTTCTTTTCTTTTTATGCCCCTTTTTAAATAATTTACTCTTAGTTTTACTTTTTGGTTCCGTTTTTTTAGATACATTTTTTCCAAATGCCCCTGACATTAAAAAAGTTACACATTTTAAATCTGTGGATACATTTTCTAATATAGTGACTGATAATCTTACTGCTACAAAAACAACTAATATATCTTTTATTTCTATTAAATAATGATGAATGGTTATTACTTTTTTTAATTGAGTTTTCTTCATACTTCATCTTTTCATGACTAGACCGCTCTTAAGTTAATTCTAGACATCTAAATTTAGATGATTTGTCGCTGTCTGTATTTTTTCTGATCATATAGTTTGCCTGTGAGTACACGTTATCCGATAGGCTGCTAGTGCCTGCGGTGTTAGAAACACTTTTCATTGCCTCTGCGAATTTAAAATCATCTGAAAATGAAACCTTCTCTTTTCTAAATAACTCAACTCGTGTATCATAAACAAACTGATCTCTTAGTGACATCTCAACATCAGGAAAGTTACGGTGCACAGATGATCTTTTTGAACGGGCTACAAAATCATTTATTGATTCTGACGCTAACTAATATGTATTGTTTAATTTATGTCTTACTAATAGTTCCAAAGATTTGGGATTTAAGTGCTTAGACAGCAAAGAAACAATTTCTTTAAATGGTGGTCCTTTGGGTTTTTTGGTATTGCTAAATTTCTAATAAGAATGTAGGTTTCTGCACTCACCTTTATAAGCAGTTCTGATACATACTTACTTTCTTCAATACCATGTGCAATGAAAAAAAGTTCTAACAGTTCAATAAAAGTTTCCCAATCATCCTCATGTAAACGAAATTCAATTTTACAGGTCTCCATCCTATATCTTGCTCCTTTATTCTTTGTTTTGACTTGTGTTACCTTTTCACTAACTTCTTTGCTTTCTTTTTTATTTTCACTTCGCAATTCCTGCACTAAAATTTGCCTTAACCTATCTACAGAATCAACCTCATCAAAAACCACACCTAATTCTTTTAGTTTTAAAATCAAATCTTGTTTCTTTAATTTATGCACCCACGAAGTACCTTTCTTCATTCCTTTTATCCTCGACGCGAAATGCTATGTATTTGAATATTAAAACACAAAACTACAATATTAGTGATCACAACTCTTTTATTCATTATGAAATATAACACTGTTAGGTTACTACAACTAAATCACTCATTGGTATCATCGATATATCACAACCATGGGATTGGTAGCATGTTTGGATGACATAGCTTGCTGGCAGACTCCTTGGCAGGACAACTTCCTCTTCATCTGATCATTTCACCATATAAGCACTTCGTTCATGGGACGTCCTAATTTTCGTCGGTAACGTGTTTATGTGGGTCTTCACGTTTTAAATAAAGTCCTGTACTCGTGCGTAGTCCGATACCAATGTATTGGAGAGCTACAGAGACTGCTTCCCTTAGAACTTTCCCATAAAGCTCCACTGCCCAAAAATGCTTCTGCTCTTGATTCCACACCTTTTCTGGATTTATATCTTTTTTTTTTTGATAGTTAGATTTTTTTCCGAACAATTGAGCAACGTAGGAGGAGCCCAAAAACTGTTCTCAGGGTATGGCATTCGGAATATTCCGATTCTATTCTCATATTCTTCTGAGCTTAAGTAAAGGAATCATAAGTAAATAGTTCGTGATTCCCAGACCACCGCTGGAACATGATGCGTGAATATAACGTTTAGGAGTATCTTGGGGTAGTATTAACCATGATGGACTATGGACTTCGTCAGAATGTAAATTTTCTCCAGCACAGAAGCCATATATTTACTTAAGGTGAGCACGTGGTTAAACCTTGGAATGAGATATGTTCAAGGTGATGAGTATTTGCTGGAGCTTTATCAGGTCTTTCCTAATCCTTTGAAAGCAATCGAAAAGTTGTTAGCTACGTTGGCAGAGTACAAGTAATTGACTTTGAATTTTGCACCCAGATATGTCCATCTCTCTAAGATAACCAAACTCTTCAGATGAATGGCAGTTAACATATTAAACATGGGTATATCCTCTACTTTAATCTTGCTCGAGCCAACACCATGATCAGTGACAAAGGGGTGCATTTATCAGGATTAATATTCAAACCAAGCTCGTGAATAGCTGGGCTTGTACTTGTTAGTAATCTCTTGATTCCGTTTGAGCTTAAAGAGATCATAATGATGTCTCTAAAGGCTAGGCAATTAACCAACTTACCCATCATTTTGTATAGAATACCCTCAATATAGTAAAGATCTAAAAAATTAATTTTATTTTTTTTACTTTTTACATATATAACTATTATTTGATTGATTTCTTGTTGCAGAAAGGCGCGCAGTGGAAGCACCAGTGATCATGGAGCACGCTAACAGTATTACCGTCCAGCAAGACGAAGGAGCAGTTCTAGTCTGTTTAGCTCAATCTTGCCCTAGTCCTGAATACAGGTACAGACATTAGGTTATAAATTGTTCTTGTTGTTGATCAAGTCAAGTCATTTTCAAAATCATGCTTTGAATCAAGTCAAAACAGTGCATCTGTGACGTAATCAAAGTCTAAATTCTTTAGATTAGTTGAAGTAGATACTTTACAAAGCAAAACGACTGCGTTCATATATATATATATATATATATATATATATATATATATATATAATATATATATATATATATATATATATATATATATATATATATATATATATATATATATATATAATATATATATATAATATTATATAATATTATATATATATATATATATATATATATATATATAATATATATATAATATTATATAATATTATATATATATTATATATATATATATATATATATATATATATATATATATATATATTATTATTATTCTAGAATTATTATTCTAAAAAAACGAAGTATAACAACATATTCAAATTTTCTAAGAAAAAGTATTGAACATACAAAATAAAAAATGTGTTCTGTATTTTAATTACAACTTATCGCTCTCTAAAACTTCGGAAAGATTGAATAGATCAAATCCTTGTTGGTATCACAGTGGAATGATGCTTGGAGGAACTATCCTTCGAAATTATTCCAGGTAAAAGAAAACAGCTCACTATAAATATTATTATTCATTTTTTTTTTAAGGGCATGTATACATATATATATATATATATATATATATATATATATATATATATATATATATATATATATATAAATTATATCTAGGAAAATAACTCAAAATGGAGTACTTACTAGCTGTTCTATTGTAGAGGATCAAGGCAATAATATTGTGACGCCTCAGAAGCGGCTATTGCACTAGCAGATCTAGGATTTAAATTTGGGAAGGCTTCAGCCCGAAAGCTATTTGTTTGATAAAAATAACGATAATTACTTTGAAAAAAAAGAAAGAAACTAACTACCTATATGAAATGGTGTTTAAGTGATTCCTACAGTCGTTTATAATGTAATTAGACGAACAATAATACTTTAAGAGATCATTTTTTTATATATTTTTTTTTCCATAAAACGTGGTTATATTTTACCATTTAAGAGGGGAGGGAGGGGAAGCTTCAGCCCCAAAGCTCCTCCACCGGTAGATCCGCCCGTGGGCTATTGTGAATTGTGCCCTGCCTATCTTCTCCGCAATCTAGAAACCCCTACCTGTGTTGAGTGTGGTACCCCTAGGTCAGTCACCTTTGCTGAGTGCACTGATTGAGTGCCAGCAATATTCACTTGCATGAAAAAAATTCGACATGAGCTCGATGTTGGGTATATCCTCAGCAGTATATGCGAAATACTGAAACATTGTGAAACTACTGTTAAATCCTTAATACTAATATAGAATACTGGAAAATAATCAAGTTATACCACCGAGTCTAGAAACACAAAAAATTCCAATTATCCTTCGGGGTAGAGACATTTCAACAATAAATAAATTATAAGATACATACGATGAAGTGATTATTGTTGTTTTTTTTAAGTTTATTCTAATGAGAAATATTTTAAAATAATTGATTTGGAATGAATAATTTTATTCAACGAATATCATTTCTGCACAATTTATAATAGAAGTGACACTTTGACAAATTATTAAATTTAAAATATTCTCTATGTTAATACATATATTGAGATACATGTATTACCTTTTTCATAGATTACTGAATCGCATACTCTTCAAATAAAAAAGTAAAGAAATAATTTAGATCACATTTACCTTGGCGACATTTAAGCTTTGTAGACAGATTCTCATGGATAAATTGCTCAGTGCAAAATAACTTGAAAATGATATACCTTACGGGAAATTACGGATATTCATTAAAAAAATAATTTAAATGTCTCTATATATAAATAAAATAAAATAATATTATAATAATAAAATTTTAAAAAAATCCTATTCAAGCCATTATTATTGTACAATTTTTATAATATACTAATGCCCGATACGAATCAGAAATTATTGGAAATTTTCCTATTATGTAACGATGTTGTTAAATTTTAATGTATAACATTATTAAATTAAAGTAACAAAAGCATATACTACTGAAATCAAATGATGTCATGATAGAAATGTCCTAATTTTTGTTTTTATTCAAACATAATTATTCAGTTACGTGTTTGGAAACTACTAATTAAGGATTGAGCAGAACTAAATAGCCTTGATGTTGCATAGTAAAAAAAATTAATATTTCATTTAAGAGTTGTTTTTGATCAGTCAACGAGTGGCAGAGATAGGGATAGCAACTCTAAAATAGTCCAAAAAAAATGGGCTTCTTCGTAATATCGCTGTGTGTTTTAATAGTGTGTGGTACAGCTATAGGATACAAAGGTGATTTATTCAACCAGGAGGGATTCAACAGCTTATGGACCAACTCAACCAGATTATCTTCCAACGGTACAAAGCAACAGTCTGGCATATTAAATCAGGGAGTACTAGATCAAATCCCTATCGTCAATCATATCCAAGCATGGATACTACAGACTTCTGAAGCCATAGAGAACGTGGCCGCTCATGCAGCCGAGATATTTACTAATGTCGCTGAGAGAGTACTTCTGAATGGAGCCAGTGCCTTCATAATCGCTTTTAACAAACAAAATCTTTCACTCCCAGATATCAACATTCCTGTGCTCGGCATAGGCAGTTTTGTAGCTAACGGAGGAGAGATTGGGGATGTATCTACACTGAACTCCAACGGACCGGTCAAGGTACGAAAATTGGGATCCTCCTTGTGGATCGAAATTCCTATCAGGATGGGACCCCTCAACGCAGGGTATGGACAATATTCCTTCACGATACTAGGCATCAGTCTACATGGAACAATAAATGCCTCCATCGGTAAGATTGCACTGTTGATCGAGCTGCAGTTGTTCGGTTACATAGATTGTATCATCAACTTGCAGAAGATAGAGGTACAGACCATAGATGATATAAAGGTCGAACTAAAACCCATTTTGAATAGCAATTTAAATTCAGCTATTGATATATCCACATTCTTTCTGGATATCATCAAATCTGAAGTTCAGGATGCATTAGACCTGCTTCTTTCGACTTTTCTTAATAATAACAACAAATTGATATGTTCCAGATTTACTCCGCTGTATGGGTCATACGCCAAATGAAATGAAATATTCTCTTTGTGCCGGCAAATAAAAATGTTATTCTTGCACAATCAATTTTCATCAAGTCAGTGAGCTTAATTTTAAAATAATTAATTTGGAATAAATTATTTTATTCAATAAATACTGTTTCTAAGCAACTAATAGTAAAAGTAACACTTTGTTAAATTATTTCAATTAAAATATTGTCTACCTTTTTACATAAATTGAGTCCTTCCTTTTTCTTTGTTAAGTAAAGTTTTTTTTTTATTTTTTATTATTTAAATTTACAACGGTATAATGATAAATAAAACTAGTAAATTTGAAATAAGTAACTGGGCATGCATAACATGAAGATAAATTACCCATTGGTGGCACTCCGATTATATTTCTATATTAGAAGGTCCCGTGGCCATCCTCTTTTCAGACGCCTCTGAGGGTTATCAGGAATAGAAGAGGAAACAAGAGGGTTCGGATGGTTCAGAAGTTTATTATGGAAGAATAGGTATCTGGATTCAGCTAAATCGGAAACATATGGTACGTTAAGGTCGTCATGGATGATTTTATTTGTGAAAAAGTACAGAGCATTAAGGATATTACGAAGCATTTTGGATTGTAGGAATTGGATACGAGAGGAATTTGATGGTTTAGTGGAGCCCCAAAGCTCGATGCCGTAAGTCCAAATAGGCCTTATTATAGTAATATATATGAGTCTTTTGTCAATAGTTGGAAGTTTATAGCGTTTTTCTAGTAAGTGCTGCAGTAGTCAAAAACGCCGGGCGGTTTCTAGTCGTTTCAGTCTGGTATGGGGTATCCAAGTGAGTCGCTTGTCCAGGTGGAGTAGGTATCGGATTTGTTCAACAGGGATAAGTGGGATATTTTTAAAGGATACTATAGGACAGGAAGTCATAGGTTTACGATAAAGAATAAAGGCAATTTGATGGGATTTATTGGCATTTATTTTAATCCTCCAGTTTTGACAGCATGTTAAGTGAAGTAAAGTTAAAAGTCTGTTTGTTTCATTGTTTTTGAAGGCTAATCGATGTTATGGGCATGGATAGTTGTACTGAAATATCAACAAAAGTCACGTTTAGTTTCTAAGCTGATTTTCATAGCGGAGAATTCTCCTGCAAATTCTACAGCCACACTGGAAAAAACTGTGTGAACAAAATTTAAAAATTTTCAGAAAACGAAAAAACTGCGTAATTTTTGTTCTATGAGCACTATATTTTCACTTCTTTTTTCGCAGGCTTAAGGATGTAACGCCCTATGTAACTTTTTTTAACGTATTTCTGCTAAATAATCATTTAGAGCCAATACTTCTAATTTATAGCTTTTTAGTTACTTTGAAAAACAGGTGTTAGTCAGATAAAAGCAATCAAATTTACTGTAATAACAACTATTACTTTGTTATTACAGATCGAATAATGATAGGAACAGAGTTAATTACCAAAATATAGAGAAACGATACTTAAAATGGAAATTTGTAAAACATTTGACTGGAAAACGAGTATTTGATCACACGAGAGATTTCAATTGTTTTGGATGCTGTTCGATATTATATTCCCACTTACCACTCTCTTTATTGGTTCGTCTAGTTCCATGGTAAGCAGTGCCGTGGGAACTCAGGTATTTATCGAGAGGCGTCGTGTTGGAGTGCCCGCCACTTATTAGAAATTAAAAAATACAAAAATTAATGAGAAAAATTAATTATAGCTAATTGATACTGTAGTCTATGCTCAAAACGCTTTATACATTCCATTGGGTTGTCTGGAAAATAATGCAGGATTTTGAGTTTTCTTTAAAATACCCCTCTATATAACAAACTGTTTACTGGATTATTCATTTCTATGAATGTCAACCCTTAT